CTGTGGAAGGGAAGAAGGCAGGTTGAGTGGGATTGGATCCTCCACTTACCTCAGAATAGAATGCTTCACAGAGTACCTATGAGGGGTCTTCAACAAATGCATGGGGAAAAGGGTCATTATCTTCTCATTCCATTTTTCCAAGAACTTTTTGAGGCCCTCTCATAAAATAAAGTTCTTATGGATTGAATTGTGTTCCTCAAAAATATGTGTTGCTATAAAGGTAGAAGTTTTATAACAAAAACAGGGGAATAGTTAATCTTACAGTCCAGAAACAGAGGACCATGAGACCCTATCCAGAGAAGCAGCGACACCAGAGATGGAGGCAGAGATGGGGACATGGAGAGAGGGAGCAGCTGAAGACTCTGGACTCATGGAAAGAGAGGGACTGGGTGCTAGCAGCCAGGAGGCAGACTTGCAGAACATGCCCTTTGGTTGTTTAAATGATTATATATTTCTGAGTGTTTTTGTATACATCTCCCCACTCCCCCACACCCCTCAAAACACAAAAATAGAGTGGAAATAATGTTGATGATACACGGAGGAGATTATAATCGTTGCAATGAAACGATGGTGTAGAGCCGATGTTCTCTCATGTAAACTATCACTCGGTTCACAGTAAAAACTTTAAATATATATATTGTTGTTGTTACATGCCATGGAGTTGGTTTCCGAGGCTGTAAATCTTTATGAGAGCAGAAAGCCTCATCTTTCTCCCACGGAACAGCTGGTAGTTTCAAACTGCTGATCATGAGATTAGCAGCCCAATTTGTAACCACTACATTACCAGAGCTCCTTAAATATATATTGCAAATCCTAACCTCTATGCATGTAATTATAATCCTATTTGGGAATGGTTTTTCTTTAGTAAAGAAGCTCTGGTGGCCCTGTAGGATAAGCACTGAGCTGCTAACCACAAGGTCAGTAGTTCAAACCCACAGGCCATTCCAAGAGAGAAAGATGAGACTTTCTGCTCACATAAAGATTTACAGTCTTCGAAACTCTATACAAAATCACAGAGTTGGCATCAACTAGACAGCAGTGGGCTTGAGTTGGTTTCTTTATTATGTTAATGAGACAGTATTAGAGCGGGATCTTCGTTTTGTTTTGTGTTTTTTTTTTAAAGTTTTTATTGTGAATTGAGAGAATATTTACATGGCAGATCATCAGTTCTACATTCAACAAATAATACACTTTGTTTCATTACAATGATTATAATCCCCTCCATGTACCATCAGTTAACAGTATTTCTCTCTATTCATTTTAGCTTTAAAAAAAAACTCACAAATAGACTATAATTTAAACCACCGAAGGTCATATTCTGCAAGTCTGCCTCCTAGCTGCCAGCTCTCAGTTCATCTCTTTCCATGAATCTAGAGTCCTGAGTTGCTCCCTCTCTCCATGTTCCCATCTCTGCCTCCATCTCTGGTGTCACTGCTTCTCTGGATAAGGTCCCAAATTCCGCTTTTGCTCTTCTCCCTGATGGTTCTAGGGTCCTCTGTTTCTGGACTGTAAGATTAACTATCCCCCTGTTTTTGTTACAAAACTTCTACCTTTATAATTGTGACAGTCACAATTAGTCATGATAACAATTACTCACTATTGAATCATAAGAATCTTACCACTATCTCTTTTTACCAGACCCATCTAGACAAGATGAAAACTATTCAGTGGGGACTCTATCTTCCCCCACACACTCTTAAATTAAACTCCCTCTTGAAACCTTGTATGCTAGTCACTTCGAGCCTTTATCACCCCCTCATTTTAGGTTGTTGTTGTTAGATGCCGAGTCAGTACCAACTCATAGCAACCTTATGTACAGTTGAACAAAACACTGCCGGATCCTGGGCCAACCTCACTATTGTTGCCACACTTGAGCCCACTGATGCTGCCACTTGACCAATTCATCTCATTGGGGGTTTTCCTCTTTTTCTCTGACCCTCCACCTTACCAAACATGATATCCTTCTCCAGCGACTGTTCCCTCCTGACAATATGTCCAAAGTATAAGAGACGAAGTTTGGCCATCCTGGCCTCCAAGGAGCACTCTGGGGCTGCACTTCTTCCAACACAGATCTGTTTGTCCTTTTGGTAACCCATGGCACTCTGAATATTCTCCTCCAACATCATAACTCAAATGCGTCAATTCTTCTATGGTCTTCCTTATTCACTGTCCAGCTTTCGCATACATATGAGGTTATTGAAAATACCTTGGGTCAGGCGCACCTTAGTCCTCAAGCTGACATCTTTGCTCTTCAACACTTTCAAACGGTCTTGTGCAGCAGATTTGCCTAATGCAATACATCCTTTGATTTCTTGAGTGTTGATAGTTGATCCAAGAATGAAGTCCTTAATGTCAATCTTTTCTTCATTGATAAGAATGTTGTTTACTGGTCCAGTGGTGAGGATTTTTGTTTTCTTTACATTGAGATGTAATCCATACAGAAGACTATGCTCTTTGATCTTCATCAGTAAATGTTTTAAATCCTCTTCAATTTTGGCAAGCAAGGTTTTATCATCTACATATCTCAAGTTGTTGTTAATGAGTCTTCCTCCAATCCTGATGCCACATTTTTCTTCATTTTAGGTAGCTAATGTCTACGTTGCCCATCCTTATTTACCCTGTATACAGAGGGGATAACATTGATACTTGATTTAAAGATTCCTTCCTTCTCTGTTGGACTTTAAAGCTACCATCTCCATGAATATAGGTCAAGTTCATCAAATTGTAGAAATTTACCCTTGTTTCCTTTATCAAAAATTGTTTTGTTTTTTTGAATCTTCCTCTAGTTGCGTTCTGATTACCAAGCCATCGAGGCTAGTTCAAATGGGTACTGTCTGCAAGTTTGGGTGTTCTTGTGCATCTCCCCTCACTTCATATCAGCTGGATGCTTCACTCTCAGCTCTAGCCCTCTGTGGCTATGTCCTTGTCCATGGGCTCAAGTGTTCCCAGGTCTCACGACACTTTAGACCAACCAGCCCTTCCTCTTCTCTCTCTCATCTCCAGGTCAACGGGAGTCTACAGAATGTGGTTAAACTCAGTTCATTTCTTCATTGCTATCTTTAGTGTGGGGTGTTCTTAAATCAATCTCTGTTGAGATATAAGAGAGATTAAACAAGCAGAAGTGGGGGAAGGGAGATGCAGGCCACATGAAGATTGCCCAGGAGCAGACGCTCAGAGAGATAGGGATCTTCCTCAAGAGCCCAGTGAGAGAAAGTCTCCCCCTAGAGCCTGAATTCAGACCTCTAGACTCCCCAACCGTGAGAAAGTAAACTTCTGTTTGTTACAGCCACCCACTTGTGGTATTTGTGTTACAGCAGAACCAAGGAATGAAAATAGAGGGCTACTTCAAGTTCTTTTCATCAAGAACAAAATTGAAGTAGGACTATTAGATTATCAGTAGAAAATCTGGAGTAGAAAATTTCTCTGGGGGGGGTGGGTAATTGTAGACACTATAAGCAGAAGTAAGAAAGGGTAAATCATTCTAAATTGTTTTGATGTCTATAAAATTTAATTTCTGAAAGCAACCCAAATTTTAATCAATCAAAGAATGTTTTAAAATTGTGGTTAAAAACCAAACCAAACCAAACCCAATTCACTATTGTTAATGGATTCCAGGTCATAGTGACCCTCTAGGACAAAGTAGAATCGCCCCCATAGGATTCATAAGGCTGTAAACCTCAGGAAGCAGACTGCCTCAGCTTTCTTCATGCAGTAGCTGGTGGGTTCAAACTACCAAACTTAGCAGTTGGGTGCTTTAACCACTGCATCACCAGTGCTCCTTAAAATTTTAATACAATCACACAGTTCTCTTTCCACTCTGCCCTACTGCCTCCACTCCTGTTCTGGCTCCCCTTAATTTTAGTTTACATGTGAAAAACTTGACTGCTTTTGATGAACTGGCAGCAATGCCCTCCTGCCCTCAGCTAGTCTCCTTGCTGCGAAAGAAAATGGACTTTGACATCAGATAATTTGGTTCTAATCTTACCTCACTATTTACTCAGTCTCTTCCTATATAGTAAAATGGTGCTAGACCCCTGGATGGCATAAATGGTTTGTGTGAGGTTAAGTGTGCTACTCATGAAAGGCTGGCAGTTTTAAGCCATCCGGCGGAATCGTGGATACATCACAACTTTGAGAATCTTACAGGCACAGTGCTACTCTGAAACAACTGGAATCACCATGAGCTATAAAACACAACAGCAGCGGGTAAAATGGTGATAACAACCCCTACTTTGTATTGTTGTTAAGTGCCATGGAGTCCGTTCTGACTCATAGCAACCCAGCAGAGGGTTTCCAAGGAGCAACTGGTGAGTTTGAACCGCCGACCGTGTAGTTCAAACTGTGCTTATCCTACAGCACCACACCAGAAGTCCAATACTTTGTGTTAGTTTAACAAAACATTGTATTTACTCCATGCTACACACTGTTCCTCCTGTGGCCCAGTAGGATAAGCACTGAGCTGTTAACCACAAGGTTTGCGGTTCATATACACCAGCCACTCCTCGGAGACCCCTATACCGGGTAGCTATGAGTTATTAGAAACTCCACGGCACTAAACAACAACACACTGTTCTAAACCTCTTCAAATAGGACCTCATTTAATTCTCCCAATGCCGCCATGAAGTAAATGCTACTATAATTAACTTAATTTTCTAATAAAGGAACTGAGGCACAGAGAGGTTAAGTAACTTGTAAGGGTCACACCGCTGGTGAGCTGAGGAGTGGTATTGAGCCAGCACTTGAACACCCACGGTCTGGCTGTAGAGCCTGCCCACAGTGGCAGCAGGAGGCGTTTAATCTTCCAAAAGCCTTGACTTCTCAACGGGGTGCAAGGTTTTACCGGCATGCCCTGGAGACAGTACTGGCTACCCCACCCAGGAATCCTTAAGTGGTGGGATGGGAGTTCCAGCTCCCCACATCCGCCGCAGGGGGGCGCTGCCGCCCTTCCCGGCGCTGGCGCGCTGCTAGCGGTCCCCGCGGCTGGGGACGCCGGTTGCAAGATGTCCGTGCGAGGCGTCCAGCATGTGGCGCGGGCCGGGGCCGGCCTCTCCTGGCTTCTCTGCTGCAGTGTCCTGCTGTCCCCGGCTGCTGGGTACGTTATCGTGAGTTCGGTGTCCTGGGCCGTTACAAACGAGGTGGACGAGGAGCTGGACAGCGCCTCCACTGAGGAGGCGCTGCCCGCGCTGCTGGAGGACTCGAGCAGCATCTGGCAGCAAAGCTTCCCGGCCTCGGCGCACAAGGAGGACGCGCACCTGCGGCCCCGAGCCAGCGCCGCCCGCGCCCGACTGCCCCCCGCCCCGCCCGGCATGTTCTCCTACCGGCGCGAAGGCGCCAAGGCGTCCGGGGCCCCACCCGCCTCCAGGCTGCGCCCGGGGACCGCCCGCTTCCTGGCGCACGCCAACGGCTGGGGCTGTCTGGCCACGGTGTCCGCACAGGAGAAGGTAAGGCAGCCTCAGGCCGGGACGGGGTTCGCTTTTGCAGTGCCGGACGGACTGCAGGCTGCAGGTGTCTACGTCTCAGTGGTCTGGAAATCAGGCGGTGTGGACATGAGGCAGGGAGACGCTAGCGAGCACTCTCCTCCAGGTCTAACGTCGTGTCTGGTGGGCTAGATTGAACCGTCTATACCATGTAAATCATGGAGCCAGATTTCGCTTGCTTAACCTAGCAAAGTCGGGGAGCGCGGGGAGCTGTCACTGGAAAAAAAAGGCTTTTTGCCAGGTGGTTGCGATGGTCAAAGGGAAGTATAAATAAGCAGCTCCTGACCAGAGAGACCTGGACAAAAGAAGCCAGGGCTGCCTTTGGAATTTGAGAAGGCACACACCGCCCCGCCCAGCTCACAGCACTGCTCAATCGGCCCCAAGCTTCCCCCTTGTCCACTGGCACTTAATTGAGGCAGAAACACCACCAACAGAGGCTGCGTGGAAATTTACACGGTTAAAAATTGAACACAAGAATTTTTCTGGAAAGGCAATGTATTGTGGAAAGTATGTGCGTTCTGAAGTGAGCTGTTACAGCTGCCGTTTTTATGGTGAAGTTCACGAGTGTTGTACTCACCTGTTAGACATGATTCCATCTTGAGCTGAAATGACACAAATAAAGCTTGAGGATGTAACGCTCATAAAAACACATCCTCCAGAAGTTTCTGTTGTTGTTGAGGTAGGTGTCAGGGCTTCATTACGGGGCAGATATGCAAAGAGTGTAGAATGTTTAGGAAGCAGGTTCTGGCCCCAAGCTCTGACACTGACTTTTTCAACTTTGCTTTCCTCAGCTATAAAATTAAGTTGTAGACTAGACCTTTTGGGGGGAGAGAGAACTTAAAAAATTAAGTGATAACTTTATTATGATATGGCAACGATCTTAACCTCTTTAGTGTCAGATTCTTGCCAGATGGGTATTCACAGCCTCCAGATGGATTTGCACAGTTACATCTGGTGTTCCTAAGGCCAAGAAAATATGAAGTTTAAATACTTTGGTTTAAAACACAAATCTTTTTCAAGCAATGGTAAGTCTAATACAAATGTATTAAAGAAATGCATTTTAACTTCCCACATCATTGTCATAACTTTGTTTCAAATTTCTCTTTCCAAAATGGATATTTAATCTAAATTCAATAAATACAGAAAAACATTTACCAAGGGCCTACCATGTGTTAAAAGTATGACTGACGCTGAACAGTGTATGACAAGGAAAAAAACAGAACCTGAGAATGAAGTTACACTACCACTCTGGAGGACTCCTTAACATTTTGTTTTATTAAAAGACATTTTTAACTTTTAAAACCTGCCCTAGACACAGTTCTCCATGCCTTTCTCATACAGTGTTTCAAAGATAAAGACATCCTTTGGGTTCTGAGCTAAGTAACAGTGATTTATACTTTGTGACGTTCTGGTGTGGCACTGTAGAATACGCACTGGACTGCTAACCACAAGGTCAGCGGTAAAAAAAAAAACTAAAAAAACTAACAACTGCTCCTCTGAAACACAAACAGGGTCATATGGTGCACAACAACACACCCTGTAAAGGGTTACACTCACAAGAGATTGGGAGAGAGTTTGGGAAAACCTAAGAATTAAGTATTTTTGTGTATGTCTGAGATCTTCATCCACCCAACTGGATGATTCATGGGAGGGAAATCTCATTTTTGTGACTTCCTTTTAATGAAAAAATAACAAATCAATTTCCCTTAACTTGCTGAGTCCTACAATGACACATTATTGATTACAACTTAAATGTTGTTGATGTCATGTGCTGTCGAGTCAGTTCCAACTCATAGCATTCCTGTGCACAACAGAATGAAACACCACCTGGACCTGCACCATCCTCACACAATTGTTCTATGTGAGCCCATTGTTCCTGCCACTGTGTAGGTCCATTTCAGAGGAGGGTCTTCCTCTTTTCCAATGATCCTCCACTTTATCAAGCATGGTGTTCTTCTCCAGGAATTGGCCCCTCCTGATAACATTTCCAAAGTATGAGAGACAAAGTCTTACCATCCTTGCTTCTAGGAGCATTCCAGCTGTACTTATTCCAAAACAGCTTTGTTTGCTTTTCTGCAATCTATGGAACTTTCCGTATTCTTCACCAATGCCATCATTCAAATGCATTGATTTTTCTATGGTCTTCCTTATCCATTGTCCAACTTTCACATGCAGATGAAGTTTAGGTCAGGCATACACACCTTGGTCCTCAAACTGACATCTTTGCTCTTCAACACTTTAAAGAGGTCTTGTGTCTGTCTAATAATACCATACGTTGTTTAAGTTCTTGACGGCTGCTTCCATGCTCATTGATTGCGGATCCAAGCAAAATGAATTCCTTGACAACTTCAGTCTTTTCCTCATTTATCATGCTATTTACTAGCCCACTTGTGAGGGTTTTGGGTGCAAACCATACTGAAGACTGTCGTCTTTGATCTTCATCAGTAAGTATTTCAAGTCCTCTTTGCTTTCAACAAGCCAGATTGTGTCCTGTGTCTGCATATTGCAGGTTGTTAATGCATCTTCCTCCAATCCTGATGCCACATTCTTCTTCAAATTGTCCAGCTTCTTGAATTATATGCTCAGCATTCAGACTGAGTAACTATGGTGAAAGGATACAACCCTGAAGCACACCTTTCCTGATTTTAAATAACAATTAGTAAATGAGAAGGTGGTGTGGTCCTGAACGTCACAATCATAGAAAGTTCCTGGAGCCTACAAACCGGGTAAAATGCTAAAGTCAAGACATTCATTCTAGTCCAGAAATTGGCAAAGCTTTAGAGAAGGCAATGAAGCACTAGGACACCAATGAGACTTGTGTAAGAGGCCTTAACACTCCCCCACAAATTCCATTGGGTGTTGTCAAAATCATTGGGAAGCTGTGCTCCCTTGCGTCCCTGGTGTTATATTTCTTGAGGAGAGACATAAGCTAAACTCTCAGTAGAAGTCAGCTCACACATCTGCATTGACAAAGCCTCCTTTGGTGTTTGTTAGATCCCGGGACTTCCTTTTGTGAACTGTCTGCCCATCAGTGATGGCCCCATCAACAACAGCACTGGAATTCCTTTCTTCTACTTGACGCCCAAGGACTTCACTGTGGCCGATCTGATGAAGAACCCCATGGCTTCACTGACACTGTCAGAATCAGAGGGAGAGTTCTGCAGGTAAGACTGCTTCTTGCTTGGCTTATCCTCACTCACATAGGTCCCAGGAAGCTTTTGGCAGAGAGACAGAGGGGTGGGCTCCTCTGTGGCTCACATGACTTTAATAGAACCCTGCAGTTTTAAAAGTTGAGATGTAATTTAGATCCAGAGAGGGAGAGCGACTGTGTGAAGACCTGGGGGGTACAGGGGAAGGATTGCGATAGAATGAATGTAAAACTAATGTTCTCCCATGTAAATTATCACATAATTCACAATAAAACATTTAAGAAAAAAAAAAAGTTGAGATATAAGCTGATAGCTTCACCAACTTGAAGTGGGAAGAGTGTACCTTTGGATTCAGAGAAATATAATTCCACCACTCACCAAACTGCGAGGTTAGGGGGAAGTTACTTAACTTCTGTGAGTCTCCGTTTCCTGATCTGTAAGGTGGGAAATAAGTTTCCACTTCAGAGTTATTAGGAGGGATGAATGAAAATATGTGCAGAGTGCCTTGAGTGGGTATCATATAACCTAGGTGGGTAAGTGTTGGCTCTTGCCTACAGCAAATACATCATAGGGTCTAATGATTGTTTCTCAATGAATTTCTATTCCACCCTAAGAGATGTGTATAAAATAAACAGGCTGAATCCTTTTATGCACTGTCTTAAAATCTCTCTACAACAAAAGGTTTCTATAAGATATTTAAGTACAAATGGAATGCTGGTCCTGACAACTTCATCAGAATTCAAAATGCATTACTTGAAACTAAATTCCCACCAGTGAGTTGTATACACCGAGCTCATTTGGGGGCTCCCAGGGGAGTGAGACATGCAGCAGGGTGGCCTTGGGACACAACCTGTGGAACCTCAGTCACTTCACCTGTGAAAGGTAGCAATGCTTTAGGAAATCGATGAGATTCATCCCAGCTCTGAAATTCCATTATTCTTTACGCAAGATATAAAAAAGAGAATTTGGTATTCCTTATGAAAGATAATCAAAGCAAAAGTCAACTGTAAACTTTGGCTTGGATAAGACTCTGTCATCTAGGGCTTGTTTGCCCTGGAGACACCAGCAATTAGAGACTTGGCAGTGTTCAGCTGCAGATACTTCCACTGACCCAGGACAAGTAATGTTTCCTTGTCCATAAACTCTTTCCTGTTCTTGGTCAGTCATGCTGATATCCCAGGATATCTTTCTAAACATCTTAGGTGTTTTCCTCCCTCAGGTAGCTGAGCATCTACTTGAATGCACCAAAAGCAATCACTGTGTTGTGGCATCTTGAGTCTCAAATCCAGAACACAGCTGCTCCAGGAAACAGGCAAGAGAATCTAGATGAATGAATAAGCCACCACATCACTCAGGGTATGGAAGGGGACTGTCCATTAACAGCTCCCAGCAGATGTCAGCACTGACAGGCAGGAGCTAGCTGAAAGCTGAGAGAAGTTCTCTCAGGGGAATGGTTGCAGGGTGCCTTCCTTCAGCCCCTCCACAACCAGGTAGGCTTGCCTCTGTGGCCTTGAGGCTTCATGGCCAGCCACCACAGGAAGTCCAGTGCAGCAGGTGGGTGAGGTGAAACAGTATCTGGGTACACCTCTAGCACTGGCCTTGAAGAGGAAGAATGGGCCGCCACCCATTGGCACCCCTATGTCTAGAGCCTGGTATAGAACTCCTGTTCCCCAGAACTGCTACCATCCTCACACTGTTTAAGCTTCTGCAATATTAAAATATCACTTATATAAACATCTACAAAGCTAAGTTTAACCCCAGTAGGCATCATGCTTCGCTTCAAAGTAAAGGCTTCCAAAGGATGAAAAACTTCGGCCCTCACCCCAGAAGTAACACGTTGACAGTGCTTCAGGCATGCTGCCTTTGTTACACCTGTTTTTCACAAATTGAAGGTTTGTGGCAAGCCTGAGTTCAGCAAGTCTGTTGGCACCATTTTCCAACAGCATGCTCACTTCGTGTCTGTGTGTCACATCTTGGTAATTCTTACAGTATTCCTAACTTTTTCATCATGCCTTTGTTTTTTAAGTGCTGTTAAGTTGGTTCAAACTCAAAGCAGCCCTGTAAAGGGTTTCTGAGGTTGTAAATCTTTTCGGGAGCAGGCCTCATCTTTCTCCCAAGGAGCAGCTGATGGGCTCAAACCACTGAACTGGTGGTTCATGTTGTTTGTTGTTAAGTGCCGTCGAGTCAGCTCCAATCCATAGCAACTCTGTGTATGGTTTCTGAGGAGCAGCTGGTAGGTTTGAACTGCCAACCTTGTGGTTGAAACTGACCTTGTGGTGCAATGCTTTATCTGCAGCGCCACACCAGGACATAGTCCAGTGCTTACCTAACAGAGCCCTAATGTTGTTGTTGTTATGTGCCTTGGAGTCAGTTCTGACTCATAGCAACCCTGTACAGGGTTTCCGAGGCTCTAAATCTTTATGGGAGCAGAAAGCCACATCTTTCTCCCGCAAAACAGCTGGCAGTTTCGAACTGCTGACCTTGTGGTTCGCAGCCCGATTCGTAACCACTACGCTACCAGAGCCATAATAGACTATAGTATAGTGTAAACAACTTCTATATGCACTGTTGTTGTTGTTAAGGGCTGTCAAGTCAGTTCTGACTCATGGCAAGCAGGTATAGGATTTCCAAGAAGCAGCTTGTAAGCTTGAACCACCAACCTTGTGGTTCAAACCAACTTTGCAGTCCAGTGCATTAACCTACAGTGCCACACTAGAACTGGAAAACAAAAAAATCTTCATGTGACTCACTTTATGGGGATCTTTGTTTTATTGTGGTGGTCTGGAACTGAACCCATGCCATCTCTGAGTTCTGCCTGTATTTCCATGACCTGCTTAAACCCTGGCCGGTTCATCTGTGTGAGGCTCACTTTCCAAGTGAGACCTTACATTCTAGGTTTTGCCTTCACAGTCTTGGTAATGTAGAGTGTGTTGTTGTTAAGTGCTGTCAAGTCAGTAGCAACCCTGTAACTGGTAAGCTTGAACTGCTGACCTTGTAGTTCAAACTGACTTTGCAGTCCAGCACATTAACCCACAGTGCCACAGCAGGATTCCAATGTAGAGCATAGGCCTCAAGTTAAAGCCCTCTGTCAGTGTTGGTAGAAAGCCATAGTGGACCCTGAATGCACCGGTCGAGCAAGGGCCCCATGACCACGAGAGCATAAAAAAGCGTCTTGCAGAAGTGTCCACAGTCAAAAGCTGTCCTGTCAAGCACCTTGCGTGACATTTGGAGGGACATTCTAGCAAAGCAGCAAGCTGATGCCCCTCCCTCGTGATCCTAGGGTCTGAAGAGAGCCACCAGGGAGGCCAGGATTCACTGTCCTAGGCTCCAGAACACTTCCAAGAGGAAGAATCCAGACATCACTCATTTGTCCTATTGCTGTGACAGTAAATCCGGCCTTTCACCTTCAGAAGCCAAGCTTGTACTCAGAAAAATGAAAACTGCCTTCATTCTTGAAGCAGGTTCCCTTGAAACCTCCTGGCAAGAGCGTTTTTACTGTTTAATTTGATAGTGGTGGTGGTTCTGACTGTTAGCGACCCTGTATAGGGTTTCCGAGGCTGTAAATCTTTACGGAAGCAGAAAACCTCATCTTTCTCCCACAAAATGTCTGGTAATTTCGAACTGCTGACCTTGATGTTAGCAGCGTGACTCGTAACTACTACAGTTAGGAACAACCCAAATGCTCACAGCCTTTTCTGGTGCAATGCTGATGAAGTGGGGGCAGGGATCTTCCCTGTGTCGCCTTCAGCGGGTGGGCAGACAAAGCCAGGACTGGACCCTTAAGCCTAGAGGGCTTGCAGGAGCAGCAGAGCCATCAGAAACTGAACAGTGATAATGTACGCTCCATGCAGCCTCCTCGGCAAGGACAAGCAGGGAGGGAGCGGCATAGCTACTGACACGCTGAGTAAAGGGGATGCTGCAAAGCCATCATGTGCCCCTGGAGCAGCCACTGGAGAAGGGGCGGTTCAGCTGTAAGCCTTCCACTAGATTCATTAGGGCTGAGCGCTGTGCCTGTTCATTCAACAGCGACCAGCTGGGGAGCTGCACCTCTGCTGCTGGGACTCAGCCCCCGGGGCAGCCAGCCAGCCAGCCAGGCAGGCAGAATTCAGGAGGGGAGGATGAGAAGGATGCAAATGGAGCAGAGGGAGCAGCTGCTCCTACTCCCAGGACATTTAGCCTAAAAGACAGCTGGCAGGTAATGCGTATGTGCTTAATAAGCAGACAGCGTCCGCCATCAAATCAGAACCTACACACGTGCCTTACTTTCTAATTCCTCGTTTATTTAAAGTCCATTTTGTACTGTTATTCTGTTTACTCCGTGGGAGCTGTGATACCCTCATTTAATTAATTAGATGAATTACAAGTGGGGAACTATTTCCCAGCTCAGGATAAAAAGACAAATTGAGATTACGATTCCAGTTTAATAGATTCACTTGCAATTAGCGATTCCCACCTCTCTTCTTGTTCTGCTCCCTTCAGCACACATGCGTGAAGTCCCTTGGCGGTACAGTTAACACACTCAGCTACTAATCCAAAGATTGCAGGCCTGAGTCCACTCAGAAGTGCCTTGGGAAAAAAGGCCTGGTGTTCCACTTTTGAAAAAATCAGCCGTTGAAAACCCTGTGGAGTACAGTTCTACCCTGACACGGGCACATGGGGTTCTCCATGAGTCAGAATCAATTCCAGAACAACTATTTGTCCAGATGTTCCTGCAAATAAATGAATTTATGTTCAGACCAGAGACTCAGTTGTGTGGAAATCCAATAAGTATTGACTGACTAAGCAAACCCACCCAGAAAGTGTATCTTCTGGGGTAAAATCTTTTCTTGTGGAGCATGAAGGTTTTCATTTGCTTTTTCTGAGGATATCCTGAGGAAACCAAAAGAGGATTATCAGAGACTTTTTATGAAGTGAAATATTTTCACTGATAGGTTGGACAAATGCTAGTCTCCTCAGGAGATCAAGTTCACCATCAGGAAAATGGAACATAAAAACATGTTACCCCCTAAAAGTCT